CTAATATGAGTATGGTTCTCCATGCTTGGTACGTGGAAGGCACGTGCGTCATCCACTCTGACACTGATATCTTTGTCTTACTACTTGCTCAAAGCAAAAACCTTCGAATGTGCTACATGAAGAATCGAAGAGGTGGAAAGACCAGAATGATAAAATTTCTTTAGTTATTAACAGCTGCATTGACAAGCACTACTTCATGAAAGTCCTAATTGGCGTACACACAATCACAGGTTGACGCTCTCTGGTAAGCAGTTCAGCTTTTAATTCTCCAATACAATGAAAGGTCAGGCGAGAGTTGGGAAGGAGTGAACAGCATCCAAAGAGATACTGGAGGAGGCACTCGGGTGACAGCTGAACGAGAAGGAGTGTCAGAGTATGGATCCACTTCACCAGAGGCTATGCGGCTATGCCATCTCTATGACGTCGCGTTATAAGAGCAAATTATCAAGCAGTAATCTGGAGGGGAGCCGTCACCACAGAGAAGACATTTAAAATACGACGCTAGTAGCGGAGTATATTTGACAATTTTTGAGATGTTTGGAAAGGTGCTCAAACAGAGTCTTGAGTGTTTTGTAAAACTTCTCGATCGGAACTACAACTAAGGAGAAACAGAAAAATAAACTCGTAAAAATATCTGCTAGTCAGATATCCACGGTCATGTAACGGTCATGATTTACCGCGTTTAGGCTTGATGAATTGTTTGTGAGTTTGAGAAGCTATAGATCCAAATGAAAGTGACAGCAGTGACATGATACGATCGGGGCGTTTCTGCACTCAAACGAGCTCTAAATTGAAGTGTGAACCTAGTTACATGCGTATACGTTGAGTTACGGTATATTGGTTCATGGCGTAGTGTGCTTAATTAACTTCACGTAGAAAAGGTGTTTTCCTAGTACTATGATGTGGAACACCTTATTGGTAATTTAGTAACTTCAGGTGGTTAAAATAGAGGTTGAATACACAAACTAGAAAACAAAATGGCAGCCACTGTAACGTAATTTATGACGTCATCATAGCTTGAACAACCACAGACAATACTGAAATAATATCTAAGATACTAATTACTCCAAATATACGTCCAGGCAAAATATTGTGTGCCTCTAAGAAAAGAAACATAGGAAAATAACACTTGTTAATGTTATTTTTTAGAATTTCAAGATGGCAACCAAAAGGAGGGTATTGGGGGTAAATTAAAAATTCGATTTACAAAGTGAAAGCCACTGTTCTATCCTTGCTATCATGCATTTTAATGATACTTAATAGTCAAAGATTAAGAATATACAAGTTTCATTTGTTACCCTTAAGTGAGCCATACAACCACCTCAGCTGATGGACTAAATCCCAATTTATCGGACCACCAAATGAAACGGAAAGTTTAAGGGTGTTTTGAATGAATTTTGCTGTTGCTATAGTAACCCTTTGCGTCATGAAAAAGACCATACACGTATTCTCCAATGATTAAGTACTTGTTGTTACCGTTATTACGTCATCAACTAAAAAAAAACTGGTATCATTGATTCATTATAGAAGAATTGCTCAAAATTGCTTAAACTGACCATTGTGAGCCACTTTAATACTCTAGCCTCACACAGTTTATTAGTTACGTAAGACTAGCCTCTATACAGAGCTGTAGGATTTTGTTTGCCATCGGAAAATTGGTGTTATTTTATTCCCTTGGCATGGTGCAGGAATTTGATTGACGACATTTATTGTCTGCAGTCTGCAGAAGTTGTCATTTAGTATATACGGAACTCAAGCTAGTTTAATTAGTTACGGAAACTAAGTATATAGAATTGTGTAGAAACCAACTCACATTTAGCCAGACAATGACCGTGAATGGTTAAATAATTTGTTTAACAAACTGATCGAAGATAGAATCGCGATTTTTCGCCGGAAATCTGTTTATATATCAAGCTTTATCTGGAGCCAATTGAGAATTTCCCCTGAAATATGCAAGGATTTCTCGATCTAATTTTTGCCCAACCCAAGCTTTCTGCATATCATAATTGGGCAAAAAAAATTATAGCTCACAAAGCAATTAATCCATACAAACAGAAAATGCACCCAACTTGAATATGGTCGAGTGACTGAAGTGTGACGTACTGCTATCCACGTCCTCTAGTCCCCACCCCAGCCCCACTGGATGCGATTTTAGTTCACCGTGATTGCACGCTGGTCTCCAGCAGATCCAAAAACAAGTTTTTTCTTCCCGTTTACATTCATACTATTGGTTGGAAAACGCGACAGTGCTAGCTCAAAGTGGCCATGCCTTACAGTTAAGACGCACCCGTAGTTCTTGATACGCTGTGTGCATTGGGCAACTGCACTTCCTTCCACTCGTCTGTATTTACCAGTTAGCTTTATTGTCATTTTTGCAATCAAATGTGGCCTGACAGTATACTGTACGGCAGCAGTGGGTTTTCTTTGGTAATAGCACGGTAATACAGAGTTTAATTTATAGTACTTCGAGCACGTTTACACTAAGCGTTGAAAGGTTTTACTGGCTAAGGCTACACTGAGAGCAGAATCGACATGGATCATTAGATACCTCGACTTCTGGTACCTGCTGTAAATGGTACTTAGAACCTGTTCGGTAAACGATTGTTACACGGCTTTGGGTCAAAGCTATTTATCCGCTTACTATCCTCAGAGAATAGCTATTAAACACAATGATCCAGCTCCTTACCCCCTTTCTCTCCTTATGAGCTTTTCTCTACAATAAACTATTTCACAAGCCTGATTATTGCTCCCGCACCCAACTTTTCCACTATGCCATATATGTAGGAGTGATAATTGATCACAAGTGATCTGGGTAATAAATAATGCGTTTGATGTCAGACCATTTTGACTCGCTTGCAAATATTTAGTTACGAGGGAAATAATCTGTCGGCCGCGGTTTTTCTAGAGATGAAACCCTGCCTTTTCGGCTTCGCGTGCTTGGTTTTCTTGGGATTCGTGTCGCCCAGTCAAGAAGGTAGGTTGTTTACAATTGACCTTATTTTGATAACTTTGTTTTTGGAATATCGAGGTTACGTAGTCGTTAGAGTATTGTCCTAATAGAAAACAACACAAGTGCTTTTAAAGCGCGTCTGCTTTCTTTGAGAACGTCAGAGAGTACTGCATTTGTAAGAAAAAAAAATGGAAATACGCATCGGTCTTTAAGGTCTTCTCTAAGTTATTTAAACTTAAAACGCGGCGATAACGCTTATGTCAGACACAGAAGTTAATGTACCAGTTACAGACAGCAGAGGAGCCTGAACTGAGGCATGACCTGGTTGTTATAGCCGGGAAAACAACTTCAGGGACTCATTAAATGAGATTTCTTTTTTTTCCTTTAACATAAGGGTCAAAAAGGTCTGAGGCAGCGCCGTTATTGATATTTTCATGACTAATCCGCTTTAAATTAGTTATGACTTAAACCAATACCGTGATGTCTTTATGGGACTGAGGTTTTTCACCTTGTCATACTGCAGAAAAATTATTGAGTTTAAGAAAACCACGACTTCAACGGCAACGGGAACGTCATTTTATAAAAGGCTTAATGAGCAAAACAATCGGTGCACGTGCGTTATAATTCTTAGCACATTTCCTCGCCGTCCTTTGCAAAACAACAACGTGAAATGACCAAATTTTGCATTGTTTGGAGAATGTGAACCACGACGACCACTTGTTAAAACTTCCATTTTGAATTTAACGCTGTGTTCCATATTTATTTTGGAGTTTTAACAAAAAGAAACAAACTAAATGATTTTAATGGCCGTTGTCCTCGGCGTCGCCGTCATGGTCACTTAAATTCCCTTAATATTTATTTTATGTACTGTGGTGTTGTAAGGAACGCCACAAGCTAAGGTAGGTTGTTTGTAAATCTATGAGTTCAAAACAACTTGTTATCAATTTCAGCTCTGAAGGTAATACGTTTATTATAAGCAATGCAATAAACAAAGCACGATCTGGAATCGTCGTTGCTGAATTTTAGTAACGCTGCCCAACCCACTTTGTTCCATTAACCCGCCTACTTTCGTCTATGGATTCAAGAATTCATGAAACTGCAAGGAAAGCAGACAACTTTTCTGTGACGGTCTGCTTCGATTGGTCATTAACTATACTTTTCTTTCCTTTGGAAAAATACAGACTGTTACTCGTACTGTTGACCGTCATAACAAAAAAAAAGTTCTAGACGAAACATCGAGTTTTAGTGGCTATCAATCATTCCCGTCACTTTTCCAAAAGTTATGCAAAAGGTTACTTGGGAATTCTCAGTTGTCTCCAAACGTGAAAATGGATTAAATATCCTGTATTATTACCAAAAAGTCTTTCTATTCGGTTTAAGTTAAATCCTGGGCTGTCTCACGTAAGCAGGAACAGACGAAAGATAAATTTGTTTCGTTGTTATTCATTTTTCTTTTAAACACTGGAAATCCACAGCACACCTCCGCAAACCAGTGAAACATCATTCTGCACATCACAAAAACCACCCCTTCCATCAGAATGCCTCCTCGAACCAACCAGGCGCGTTGAAGAACACCACTGGGCACAAAAATCTCCCCCAAAAAATCTCGCCACAAAATCCTCAAGTAAGGGCTTCACTGGCATCTGCGTCCGCCAATAAATCATCGAATCAAGATCGACCTAAACCCGCAGCAGATTCCCTGAAAGAGAAGAGCACTGTGCAAGCAACAGAGCGAGCGATTTTAGTGCACAATGCAAACAGTGGAGAGGGACATGTTGTTCAAGGTAAAACAAAAATCGTCCATTAGGTAGAATATAGATGAATTTTAATGGTTGTAATTCTATTAAATCTATTCGTAGCTTCAAATCGACCAGTTCCCTTCTCCATAAATCATACCTTTTAGCATCAATATACATTTTGGGCATTTCTTTAACTTAAGTGAAAATTAAAGTTAACTCAGTTAGGGCGTCCTAAATATTATTATGCGTTTCTTTGATATTAGAATTTTCAACATGTTTGCTCTCATCTTAGATCAACAATTAGGAGAAAATGTTTGGGCAAATTACGAAATTAAGATCTGGGTTAAAGAGAATACACACAGATGTATCGTCTATACCAGCACAAATTATGTTAAGGAATTACTTCGTCTCTTAATACACGTTTATATTTCTTGACCCATTTTAATGGTTCAAATACGATAGACACTGATATTCAATTGTCATTAAATAAATTTTATTGTTTTATTCATTATTTTAGATTCAGCCAGTGGAAAAGCTCCAGTTATCGTTATAAACTCAGATACCACAGGGGATAACGGTATGCTATTATAGGTGCTCGTTCTGGCGTATCTTGGTCGGAGGGGGGGGGGGGCAAGTCCCATATAAAAAGGACAGGCGTGCTCGTCAGAAATTTTTGAAAAGAACCCCTAAGAGGTACCAAGATCCTGTTTTGTGGGCGTGGCTTCCAATTTTTTTATCCCTAAGAGGCAACAATTCCAAGACAAAATTGAAAATCAATTGATTTTCAAATATCTCCTGTCATATGTTTTTGGCTCAATACCCTAAAAGGTATTGTAAAAGCTCCCGCTGTGAATCTTTTTAAGGCTGAACACCCTTAAGGCTTTCTTAACCCCTAAAGGTTACAAGGGTACAACGAGCACCTCCCGTCCTTTTTATATGGG